AAACGTATGCCCACACAGTTGGCAGCCACCAAAGCAAACCGTTTAGGTTTCTGGACCACTTTCTGGCCGCCTCTCTTAGTTGCTCTTCTATTTGTTCTACTTTCACCGTTGCACCGTGCTACTTAAATGCCCGATTAACATCCTTGGTGCGGATCCTAGTACCATCACTAAAAATTGTACTAGGCATATCTAGGAGAAATATTTAAGATCGAATAAAATAAACAAGGAATATGAAAATTCCATACTGCATTTGTCACAAATATATGCAAAAAATATTACTTAGAAAAATACATGTCATATTTTTCAAAAACCGAGAGAATTTTCGTTTTTCATAAATAGAAGGCATTTTATGGAAATTGTTTTCTGAAACAAAAATGGATAGTGGAGCCCAAACTCCGATACGGATTTCAATTCGGGCAGGCCCTTTTCCATTTAAGAATTCGAGATCATTTTGTGATGTGGAACAAAAATGGACAGTGGAACACTAAGCTCTGTAGACTGCCTGTTTCCATTTTTGAATTCGACGGGAATGGACCAAAAATTGACTCTTTGAACTGAATCATTTAAAGGCTAGTAGACCTGTGAAGTGGAATAAAAATGGAGAATGGAACCCAAACTCGGTAGACTGATTTAATGTCTAGCAGGCCTGTTTTGGAATGGAACAAAAATGAATACTGGACCGTTACTTTCGAGGCAAAACTTTTGAAACCTCTCGAATCAATTGATTTTTCAAATTGTCAGCATTCGCTACGTTCGATTCCGAATTAATCGGATCTTGATACAGTGCAGTATAGAACTGCAGAGTATCCCACAGTCTGTGTTTCTTCTGTTTGTCCGCAGATGAAATACGGCAATTGTCTTTGCATATTAAATTGATCGTTTATTGGTAATTGCAATTCGAAGTAATATGACGAGTTAGTTGAAGTCTTGAGGAGTCAGTTTACCGTTACGAAGAGTGTTCTTAACGCGTCACACATTCGATATTTCCCGGAAATTGTATACATTACTGGGCAGATTTATTTGAATTTAGGCCCAAATGTAACTGCCACCTTGAAGTTAACAATGACATAATAGTCGCGTATGTGTATAAGTTTTTTTCACTTTAATTGTTATTTAATAACACGATTTGCGAATTATCGCATATTATGCAGACATTATTTATTATTTATGTTTTCCACTTTGCTCTGCAAGTTCAGCAGGTGTTGGCCCCTCCCTGCCCCGCCCCGGCCCGCCCGCTCACAAGTGCCCTTCGCCAGCTTCAAAATAATCAACCGCAGCAATGCGGCTGTTTCTTGCTGTCTCTGTAGACTGAGATGCCGACGCCGACGCCAACGTCGATGGCGACTGCGACGCGACGGTGACTGCAACTGCAACTGCAGCCACTGCTGCTGAGTCATGACGACTTCGACTTTTGCTGGCTGGATGGATTGCTGGCCGGCTAGCTTTGGCCAAACACAGCTGGCAGCTGTGGCCGGGCAATGCAGAAAATGCGTGGCTGATGAAAGTGTCGATTGTGGGGGCTTGTGGTCTGGCGAATGGGTGGATGGAGAAGAGACAGGTAAGGGCTGCAATCCAATTAGATTTGCGCCAGGTCTGCCAAGTAAGTTGAATGACTGTCCCCCCACCCTTTCGCTCTTTAAGCACGCACAGAACTGTTTTTTATGCATCATGCTAGTTAAGTGCAAATTATTGAGTGATTTTCCATTAAATTACACTTTTTTTCCTCAATACTTGTTTATTATTTATGTTCAGTTAAGCTTAATATAAAATAATTAATGAAACTACAATAAAACATAAAATGTTTTTTTCCAAAGAATTATAGTGTTTAAGAGCCGGACATTCCGTTCTTATTTATTTTTTAGTTGCAGTTTGAGAGCAATTGAATTCCACTTACATTGCAATTTCCAATTTCCCTTGCAAGTGTTTGCTGACTTTTCTCCACGGTTGATGGGCCCAACAAACAACAACAACAATAACCAAATTAAATGTTGTTACAAAACGAGACACTTTAGCACAGCAACAACAACACACAAAAAATAATGAGAAAAAAATATTAACAAAAAGCGCTGCACATGAAACACGCCGCAAGAACGCGGCTAAAAGTGACAAAACGACGACGACGACGACGCGACGCGACTATGACGACGACGGTGGCGACGACTGTGACGCCAACGGCAGTAAGACGCAGGCGCAAATGCGAATTTGGATGCAAAGAAAAACGCGCGCGCGCACTAGTGACGAAATTTGGTGTGGAGCGAAGGGGGCAGTATTTTGGCGAACGACGACAAACCGACGCTGTAAATGCGACGCTATGAAGACGGCGACGGTCGCCGCTCAACTGATGCGGCCAGCTGGCGTTGCCAGAACGGAGGCCCCCCCAATGGCAGCAACAACACTACTGAGCGCCAGAGAGCAGCAGAGAGAAAGCCAGTTACTTGTTAGTGTAATCTCGTTGCCTCTGCGCTCAGAAAATGACCACAAAACAACAACAACAACAACAAAGACAAAAACAAGCAAAACCAATTGAAAACAAAAACGCGAAAGACATGAGCGTCACGAAAGGGGAACACTGCCCGTCCATACAGTTAAATCCGCAGAATTACATCTTTTAGTTTATTTTAGCGACGCCCTTATTTAGAAGAATTCTACTCTCCAATAATTTGCATTCTAGCAGAATGATCTCCATAAAAAATTAACGAGCAGAATTTATGAAATCATGATTACTGCGATTTCTAGTAGCGGCCATAATAGTATTTTTTGGAGTAACCAAACGAAAGAGATTTAGAATAGAACTAATCGGAGTGTGACGCAAAATTTAAAGAATTCAAAAAAAAAAAAAATTAAATATAAATAATTTGAATTTTTCTTTTAAACTCTCATTAAATACTAGTTTAAAATAATATATTTTCTCTCTATATTGGACCGATTTCAATAAATTGTTGTTTTGAATCTAAAATGATAGAAAATGTGTAATTTTTTTTTGGAGATTTGGTTTCATTGTATTTATTCAAAACTTTCATTATTTTTCCGAAGTTTTGTTCTTTACTCTTTGTCCACCACTGAATTTTTATTTTTGTATGTTTGTTTCTTGGTTTTTGTTTTATTCTTTGAATTTGTGAAAATATAGTTTGTTTTAAAACCTTTTGTGTTTAATAAAAAAAACCTTACAAAATATGACAAATCAAAATGAAGTTGCCTATGTTTAAACATCAATGAAACCTTTTTAAAAATTCATTAATGTAAGTTCGATGCATCGATATATCGATGTTCTTCCCCTTATAACATGAAAACATCGATGTTTCTCCAGCTCTACAGAAATGTACAAACATTTACCAGTCTCCGAATGCAATTGAGATATGCGGAACCAGAATTGGTAAGCGCTGAGATATTGAATTATATTTTTTAAGACGAACGAGTACTGCCAGAATGAATTCTTAGCTCCTCCTAATTGAGATTCCGGCTCCACCCATGTCAAAAGCCGAGATGCCAGCATCAAAACAGTTAAAGCAAAAGAATTGAGAAGAATAAACACCTCACGATTGAGTGTCATTGCAAGCCACAACAAGGAGCGCACCACCCTACCCCCCCTCCCACCAAAAGAGCACCAACTGCGTCTGCGCAAGCGACTTTGCCCAGAAGGAATCTGAGAGCGGGTGCTCTCACCCGCCCATACAGTATTGGCCTAAAGTCAATGGCCCGTTAGCCATTTGAGCCAAAGCTGCTCAGTGAAATGATAAACAGACAGGAGCCAGAGAGAACGGGCTTAAGAATTGCGGTTCTTTCAAATGGTAAGGGAAAGCAATTGAAATAAATAACAAGTGGAGAAGCTAGAAGGAAGGAAGCATATTCATGATGAGCGTGGCGAGGGAAGTCGATCTACACATGTTCGTCCGTCCGTCCGTCTGTCTGGATGAACGCCTGGATTTCGGAAACGGCTGAGCGTACATAAACCAAACTTGGTATACAGACGCTCCTAGTCCCTAGTCTATAAAAGAATTTCGTCAATACCGTCCGAATCCTTGCCAGAATGGAAGCCCTAAAACAGTTAGATTGCTTTATTAGAGAAGACTTCACATTTACTTGGAAGGTGTCATAGAAAATGCCATCAGACCACAAATATAGTATATAAAATAATAGAAGCTAATCCGCAACTTGAATGTTTGGTCATAGCGAAATTTATTTTTCTTGATATTAGCTTTATTCTAGAAAATATTCTAGTAAAATATTGCTCTCTGTTAGAGATCCGATCGTGCAGAAAACCGGATGAAGTGATTCAAAGAAGTGATGTTTTCTCATATTATGTCCTCTTTTCTTATTTTTCAGTTAAAAGAAATTGATTCAGGAAAGGAAAAACCTTAAATTTATTTATTTAAATTTTAATAATACTAAAAAGAAAAAAACAGAAAGAAAACCCCCTAATTTATGTATTAATAATATTAATCTTATAAAAATAGGTTAATTAAGTTATAATAATCACTTTTAATTTTATCTAAGAAAATTGCATACTTTGTGACTAGTACATTAATTTATAAGAAATCTTCCTGTCGTACTAGGAATTAATAAACAAACAAATATATTAAATATATTCAAAGTACATTCAATTAATGGACTATTATGATGATTATGATTTCTTTTGTGCCACTTGCTGGTTTAATACAAGTATCGACTGCCATTTATAACGATTTATTTCGAAAAATGTAGTTTTTAATCACTTAATTAAGTGTAATTAAAGTTATTGTATATAGTAACAGTATATAATTAATTATGTAATTATTACGACAAAGTATAATTCGTATGTCGAAAAAACCAAAAATCTTCCGAGTTTTTTTTGGCCTTTGAACTTGGCGCTTTCAGCTGATCGACAGTGCTGCCAGACACATGCGGCGTTGTGTAGCTGCCAGCTTTGTGGCAATTAGTCGCAAGCAGCTGTTCGTCTTATTTTTGCATTTAGTGGTTAGTTTGTTGTCGGCAGTCTCCGCGAATGAATCGTTTGAGGAAACTATTTCGTGCACAGAGAGAGAAAGGAATCACTTTTCTTTCAAAATGAGTGAAGTTTCCCTTTTAGACCTTGACGACTACAGTCTGCTTCGCGTGATAAAATATTTGAGTGACGAAAGTCTTTTCACTTTAACGCACATTTGCTCGAGACTACGGCAAATGGTCAGGAAGTCGCCAATAAAGTACAAGTATATAAACACTTTTCAAAAGAGTACTCTAGAATGTCTCGTGTCTATCGGTAGTTGTAGGGAATTATATGTTTATGGTAACAGTTCTGATTCAGTGTTGGACATGCTTATCAACAACATAGGACACATGACTAAGCTAGAGAAGTTGGAGTTGGGTTGCTGCGTTAGCAAAAAGTGTTCTGAATCTGTCTGCGACTCAATTATATACGCTGCTAGACACTTGCCGGATTTGAGAGTCTTGATTATTCGTGGCAAGTAATATTAAAATTATAGTATTGCATGTACATACATATTTAAAGATCCCATCGATAACATATGTATGTATTAGACAGCTGCATGGCTTCACTCATAAGGTACGTTGAAAAGAATGGAATCGAATTGGATTGGATTGAGTTGAGTAAGTGGAACATTGAAAATGATATGCATTTGTATGAATATGAGTGCGTCTTGTGTCTCATAGCATACGACATTCATTGAAATGAGTTAGAATAAATGAAACGTAAATCGGAATGAAACCATTGACATATCGGAAAACATTCGATTTATTCGAGTTACTCTAGTTATTGTAAAATCTGCTCACTTTGGTCCGATAAAGACCGAAATTGATGAATATAAAGCCTTTGGATATGCCATCACCAGTGATATATGGACAGATAATTATTTAAAAGCGTCGTATTCGTCCTGTACAATTCATTATACTTGTATAAAGGAGGGAGTTCCTCTGCTGTACATAACTAGCTGCAAAATATTTTGCATTCCAGCCAGTAGCGTGGCTTCGGAACGTACATTTTCAAACGCTTGAAATTTAATAACAGAAACATGTTGTCTATTAGCCACCAATCCTGACAAAATGAACCAGATAATGTTTCTAAATTCGAATATAAATTAAATATATTGTTATGTTAGTAATAAGTAATGAAAATCACAAATGAAAATATAAATATCAACCATTTTATTGACTACAGTTTTTCATTCTTCTTTACCGGTTTGTCATTCGAATCATTCGAGAACAACGTCTTAGTTTTTCCTATTCTCACTCCATTCAATTCGCTTTTCTACGTTTCGACTGAGTGCGACTGAGTTGTACGTGTGTATACTCATTCATTCATATCAGTTTGCCTTTGCATTCTAATTCACTCAACTCATTTTGAGCATTGTGCATTCGTATGTGGTCTTTTTGCCATTCATGCAGCTGTCTAGTATGTATGTATGTATATTGGACTGTCTTCTTCTTCTTTTTCTTCATTCAAGAAATACAAATTGTGGACAATTTGTATATATTTGTAAATATGTATGTATGTACAATCAAAAATTACTTTTCTCTAAATACCAGTTCTCACTTTTTACTATTTCAGAAAATGGAAATACTCAGAACATCCGATTCTTAACACACCTGGAAGCGCTTACATTGCACACACCAATATTTGACAAAGATTTGATCGAATGCTGCAAATCAAATAAAAATCTTAAAAAATTGGATATAAACTATTATTTTTATAAAGACGGACAGTTTGATGGCATTGAAGAACATTGTCAAAATGTCGAACATCTGGTAATAAGTTTAGGGGAACAATGGAATCGCACCCCACTTGCCAGCTTGCCAAAACTGAATTATTTGCTTATACATAATGGACTCCCAAGAGAAACGTTTAATTTTTTGTCCTCAATCAGTGCTGAAACACTAGGACAAATGGAATTTCTTCAAATCTGTACTGAGTGTGCTGTTAAACTTCAATCGGCCCAAATCATTGCCAGAATGAAAGCCCTAAAACAATTGAATTGTCGATTTGATGATGTCGGATCTCTGGAATTGATGGCTCAACTTACGGAGCTGAGAAGATTTTATCTCAACTTGAGAGGTGTCATGGAAAATGCCACCAGAACACATCTATATAAAATAATAGAAGCTAATCCGCAACTGGAATGTGTGTTCATACCGGAATTTATGTTTCTAGATAAATGCTTTATTCTTGGAGTTATTAAAATACTGCGATCTGTTAGAGATCTGAGTGTGCAGAAGCCGCTAATATTCTTCATTGACTTTGACCAATTTTCGGATGAAGTAAGTCAAAGAAATTATGTTTTCCAATTTTTCTTAAAGAACTTATATCCTCTTTTCTTATCTTACAGATAAAACTAATTGAATCAAATTACATTGAATTAATTTCCTCGGATGATGATTGCTATTATGAAACTTTCTGGTTTAATATCGACTGCGATTTATAACGATTTATTTCGTATAATGGAGTTATGAAAATGTACTTTTCAATGTCATATGTTTTTTGATAATGATAGGTTCATTTTTTATACATATAGTATGTACTCTATAAACGTGTATGTATATATAATATCGATAAATTACATTTAGTTATAAAAGGAATGCGCCTTATCGCATACGAACAATATTTGCCGATATTTCAGCTTCAATACATTTTGCAAGAAATATGTTTTGAGTTTTAAGTTGATATGACCTGTATGTTATATTTGTATTTTATTTCTACTCGTACCAAAAGATGCAAATGATTCAAACGATGTATATTTAACTACAAATGAAGGCATTTCTATTTTAATTTCATAAATAAGTAAATACAATATTTGTGAATATCAGATATACAATATATAAAATGTAACGCTACGAATTAAAGCAAATTTTATATTTGTAAAATTAGATCTTTAAGAGAAGAATGTATGTATATGAATACTTGAAAAAAATCTAGTGTTTCTTCTAATTCTATTTTTGTTTGGCTTTGAAAAACGAGCAGCCGCAGTTCATGTCAAACTGTTAGGCCCAATCGGACAATGTTAACAGCGAGCTCTAAAGAACAGCAGTGCATGTCAAACCATATTTGCTGAACATGTGAGTTCCTGGCACTTTAGTGACTCTCAAACTTTCGCATGATCAGTGAAGCCTAAACTATTAATTGCAGTTCATATAGAAACTTTAGAGTATTTGGCAGCTAAATGAAATATTTAAAAAAAAAACTTCAGCTTGTGGCGAAACACTTTACAAAACTCATAAGCAACAAAAAAATGTTTGTAGCACTAAGACTGTGATAGCTATATAAAATAATGATGCTTTACACTTCCAATAATAAACCTGATTTGCATATGAATTAAAAAAGTCCACATACCAAGCTTGCTCTTCGTAGCGGTTTTAGTTCAAAAGTAGTTGATGTTCATACAGTCGAACATACGGGCGGATATGCCTAAATCGTCATATATAAGACGCATCCTTCCGCCCTTTACATACACTCGGCATTTAGTGCTTTTAGGTACACCCATGGTACTCATCTTAAACTAACATCACCACTTACCCAATCTGGAGTCGTTCTTTTTGCGGACACGCAGGCAGATGGTGCATGATTTGATGCACTGCAATGGGAAGAGAAATGTAGAGTATTTGATAAGTTTTGTTGCATAGTTTGCGGCGCCAATACTTACATCGTGTATGTGTCGGATGACTTCGGTGCGCGATATATTGTCCAGCGTAAGGCCATTGACCTCGAGTATCTCATCGCCCACTTCCAGATTATCGCGATCGGGCGGTGAGCCGTATAATTTAATTTTGCCTTCGACATTCTCCACAAGAATGATGACATAGCCGGATAGCTCGACGACTTGTTGCTGCGCGCCAACGAAAATAATACAAAATAATAACAGCATTCATTAGCATTTGTTACACAAAAGTCAGCTCCGAGTGTGCGACAATTAGCGAGAATTTGGCGTATGTGGAACATGTATGTGCCGGCAACGAGGCGGCCTTTAATGTTGGCCATAAAGCAATTTCCATAAATGCTCAAAACAAAAAAAAAAAAAAAAACGAGAAAATACAAGCAACAACAGCAACAATAGAAAAGTCTAGCACAGTTTGAAGCTGGGCGCCTGTCAGATACCACCAAGGGTTGTCCCGCCCCTCCCGTTCCCGACCATCGTTGCCCAACCTTACTCGCCACCAGCAAAAACAAATTAATTATACAAACGGTGGCGTCGACGTCAACGTCTACGTTGACTTGGCAACCCAACCAGGAGCCAAGCAGCAGGAATCTGTGTGTAGGCGTTCTTTAAGCTTTGCGGAGGTTCGCCCCAATCGGGGGGATTGGGGGTGCGGTCTCAATGGGCGTGCGCGCGCTTAAGTGTGGATGTGTGCATGTGCGAGCATGTGTGTGAAGTTTTTCGTTATTGCTGGGTCGTCTCGTTATGTTAATTACAACAAATTATGCTCGTGTGGCAATGCCTGAGTCCCAACACCCAGCCCGGCCGCATCAAACGCACACTCAACAGAGACCCCATTCCTATTCCCCATTTTCAATTTCATAATACCTCTTAACAGAGCCCGATCAGGTCTCGTCCTAATAGTGTGCTAATAGGCACTTGGGTGACATAAAACTAATGTTTTCGCTTCGAATAGTCCGACTGTTTTCTATGAATAGCTATTAACAGTTTAGGCTGCACAGCAGATCAGCTTTGAAAGTTTGAGAGCAACTGTACAGAACCTGGACATACCGTTTTCTATGCATAGCAATTAGCAGTTTAGGCTGCACAGCAGATCAGCTTTGAAAGTTTGAGAGCAACTGTACAGAACCTGGACATACCGTTTTCTATGCATAGCAATTAGCAGTTTAGGCTGCACAGCAGATCAGCTTTGAAAGTTTGAGAGCAACTGTACAGAACTTTGAGTGCTGCCCGCAAATACTTAACAGCGATCAAAAGTTTTGAGAAGCACTCTCATGGCTAAGCAGTTAGCTGCATTGATGGTTTGACACGCACTGCCAGGAGAGGAGGCCAAGCAAGGTTTGAGAGTAGTTCAAGATCAGTTCAAAGCGTGCTGTTAAGCTATACAGTTTGACAACACTTAACATGATCAACAGTTTTAGAGCAACTCTCATGTCTAAGCGGTTAACTGCATTTATGGCTTAACACGTAGTGTTAGATCAGAAGTTTGCTTAAAATTAAAATTAAAAATTAAAATTTTTTACATAAACCAATACTTAACATGATCGAAATTTTAGGGGAAACTGTTTTAGTAGCCAATAGGATGTGCTGGTTTGAGAAGCACTGCAGCTGCTGCACTGCCGGAAGCTACTTAAAACGATGAAAATGTTAAGCAGACTTCACATTCCGGAAGAGTCTGAAAAGCGGTACGACTGCAACACAAGTTTGGAAGCCACTGGATGCTTGTTCTTAAAGCACCATCAGCTTCAACTAGGCTGCGTTACCGTACAGTTTGAGCAGCGCGGCGCTGCGGCTTATCGCACCTTAAAATAAACAAACAAAAGTTTATACAAAAAGCCTCAAGTTAACTTAAGCCCCACTTGAAAAGGCCAATGCAGAAGGACAACAACAACAGCAACAACAACAGCAACAACAACAATAGCAACAGCAGCAGCAATGCAAACTCAAATGAGGCTGTGGCACTGGCACTGGCAGTGGCAGTGGCAATGGGAGTGGCAGCCACAAACAGAACAAAATTGCCCGGGCACTTGAAAAACATTTAAACTTGGCACACACAGCCAGACAGACTGACAGGCGGACGGACGGGCGGACATACAGATGGACAGATGCAGGCAAACCTAAGTCTGCACAGTGGACTTAAATGGTCAACCAGAAGCATTTTTCAAACGTTGAACTAAAATAAAAAATAATTTTACAAAAACAAATTAGCATTCAAGTGAAATACATAGTTAACCAGAACTTTCAATTCCTTTCAAATCGTATTAAGTGTTATCTTGTTGTGATTTGGGCTGTGAGTTGGGCTCCAACTGTTTCCCCGAACCACTGTGCAACGGAGCGATGAAAGGACGGCAAAAATGGAAACAAAAATGCGAGCAGAGCCGAGCAGAAAAAGGGCAGAGCAGCATTCAGTCTCATTGTCAGTTGTTGGGGCCAGTGGCGGGGTCAATGGAGAGGACGCCGCTCGTCGGCTAATTAGAAAATGCTAAATAAAAACACAAAGAGCTGCAGCAGCAGCAACAACAACAACAACAAAAAGAGGGCAAATGATTAGACAAAGTGAATAGAGCTGAACAAAACGAGTCCGTTGGAGGGGCGGATACTCTGCAACAGAGAGTGAGTGTGAGTGTGAGGGAGTGGGTGGGGGTGGGGGTGGGGGTGGGGGTCAGGGGGGTCAGGGGGCAAACAGGCGATTGTTGCCTCAACACTCGACTGAATGCGGCGACAAACATGGCGGCAACTGAAACGCATTCAACACAAACTCGCGCCGAGTTGCAAAGTTGGCAAACAGCCAGCGCGAACTGCGACTGCCACAGCGGCAGCAATAAAACGACAACAATAGCAACAATGCAAAGTGAAAGTAACAGTAAATAAAAGCAGGTGCAACAACAATGAGCACTCGCCAGCACTCGTCATTTAAAGCCGCACGGATCCTTTCACCACAACGACACAAAAAAAAAAAAAAAAAAGAAGAAAAACAGACGACCTTCGCTTGCTACGCCGTCATATGCCAAATGGTTCTCAGAATGGACCGCAGCCATGAATGCTCAGAAGCCATTTCGTTCAATCAAACAATCAAACAATCAGACAATGGCAATCAAATCCAAATGGCAAATGGCCAATCAATACCAATGGCTATGGCTATGGCTATGGCTGCTTAATCTCAATCTTTATGGACTAATATCCTCGATAGTTGATAACTGCACAGAACGTTGCTCAATTAATCCATCCATCCATCGATCCATCCATCCGCATCCTTTGTGGTTACAGTGGACACTGGAGAAAAGATTCCATTTCTCAATCATCAGGGACATCAACAATGTACATACGTTTCGCTGCAAATCGTCCCTATATGTACATCCATATTTATCTGAATTTCACAAAAAAACAAATAGCTTCTTACTTCGCATTTGGACAGCAGTTTGATAGTTTTCCGGTAAATACGAATTTATTGCACAAACATGAAGCAGAGTTTTGAGTAAATGCTGCTTACAATGGTAATCCTTTTATCGTTTTTATACCCTGCACCCTAAGGCTCAAAGGGTATACTAGTGTAGTGCCATTGTTTGTAACACACACACAGAAGAAGGTATACAAGTGTACTTATATTCTGGATCAATGTGTAAGACGAGTGTCCGTCTGTATGAACACAAGGTTCTCAGCAAGTATAAGAGCTAGAGACACAAAATTTGGAACACAGATGCCTTATGTGTGCACGCTGCTTGTATTTATTTTATTTTTTGGATACTCCCCACCTATAGCAGATTTTTCAAAGTTCCAAAACTTCGTTAGCTCAATCACCCAGATCTAAGAGACAACACAACATTTTCCACACATATTCTTTTTTTTTTCATACATCCACCCAAGCCCCTTTATTCCCCCTCTATGCGGGATTTTCCAAGACTCCCTGCGTATGATCACCCAGTTTTCCGAGATTACAAGTGCTAAAGACACCTATTGTTACTCCCAAAATCTTCATGTTCCCCTCGAATTCCTTTGAATTCAGAATAAAGTCTAATCGATCAGAAAGTCTTTTACTTTTATT